AAAAGCCGTGAGAGAACCGCTCGCCTTTGGCTTTCAACCGAAACTGAGCCAAGCGGCGGCCAAAGCGGGCAACTGCTGCTGCTGCTGTTGCTGCTGCTGCTGCTGCTGGCTGTTAACGGCCAAAACAAAAACAGTGAAAAAGTGGGGAGAACTGACAACAGGAAAAACAACAACAGCAAACAAACCAGTCGAGTGCCAAGCGCGCACCTGTCGTCGTCTCGCTCACACACACCCGCGTGCTCTGCTCTCAGCCGTGGTGAGTTTTGCTCTGTGTATTTGTTGCTGTTGTTGTCATCTATTGCCTGCATTTATTGGTCGTAATTGGCAGCAATTGACATTCATTAGGTTTCAATCAGCGCCAGCGTTCTCACTGTCTCTCTTTCTCCCTCAATCGCTCTCTCTCTCTCCCTCTCTCTTTCTGAGTATGTGTATGGGTGCGAGAGTGTAGTGGGTTGAGTACATTTGGCAATGGCCGCGACGCTGCGAGAGCCGACAGCAAACATAACGGTTAGTTGACGTGCCATAAACATTTTATGGCAACGTATGTATTGTTGCTATTGCCATTACTATTGCCGTGTGCTGCTGTTCCGCTGATCTCGCTGCGCTGAGCTTGTAAGAAACTCCAGCTGCCATATAAATCTAGTCAAGTACTTACACCGACATATATTTGTATTTGTGTTTTAAGAAATGTGTGACACTTTTTATAGCAACTCCCCGAACTCAACACAGCAGTGAGCAGCAGCTGCTCTTGTTTTGCCGTCATGTTGTTGTTGTTGCAGTTGCCGTTGCTGGTGCTGGTGCTTAGGATGCTGCAACCCCGTTGTGAACAGCAGAAACAAGTACAATCCAGCATCTGTAAGCTCCGCCCCAATAAACTGGTTAACACACGTACACACACACACACACACACGCACAGCATACAGAGAGACAACTCACGCACTCTTGCCCGTCTTGGTCTCACCACAGTTATATAGCGTGCTTGCTCTAACACATGTCAAGACTGTTGCGCCAAAGGGGCTGTCTGGATGCCAGGCTCTTTTGTGTGTGTGTGTGTTTGCGTGTGTGTGCGTGCGTGTGTTGGTGTCTTTTGTTATTTTTGCGCTTGTTAACACTTTTTGTTTGGCATTTAAACAGTAAATTGGCAGCAGTTAAATGATGCCCTCTCTTATTCGCTCGCTCCCTCTCACGCTGTTGGCCTCTCTCTCGCTCTCGCACTTAGAGAGCATGTATAGTTTGGGTGTAGTAGTTGTTTAGTATCGATGTCAATTTGCTGCCTAATGTGCAAGTGAATGACTCTGGCAACTGGATCGGGTACATAATATAAGAGTAAAGGTGGCCTGGCGGAGCTTGCGATGGAGTTAGGGTGGGGGGCGCAAGGGTATCGAGAGAGGGCAGTGGCCAGGCGCTCGGGGCGGATGCTGATGCCGATGCCGATGCTGTCTCTGCTGCTGCTACTGTTGTTGTTGTTGCTTTTGTTTTGATGATGGAGTTCGCTTCAGGCAACTGCAGTTGTTTTTGTTTGTGTGGATGCTGTTTTTGCCGTTGTTGTCGATGTTGTTGTTACTTTTCAAAATGGCTTCATTACAAATGACTACAATTGGCGCTGTTGTTACTGATGATATTGTCGTTGCGGAGCACATCTTATTATTGCTTTGCATACAGATTGTCATATGCGTGCACTATGCATATATTTACATACTGTGCGTATTGACCCACAGTTGTTACAGTCTGATTGTGTTTTCGTCCAACAAGCTGAATCTAATAATTAGGTTTGAAGGAGCAGTCTGAGAGGAATGCATTCCAATACAAATAAACACAGTTGTTCCTATCTATGTATGTATGTATGTATGCACAGTTGCGGCAAAATTAATATTAGTGCATCCAATGTATTCCAAAAACTAAACAAAAAATACATTTAAATCCAATTTAATTTAAATAAGATATTAAAAGAAATTTAGTTAAGAAATTTACTTTATTAACGTGAGTATAAGATTATTCAACAAAAATTGAAGTAGAAAATCAATTTATCAATTTAAAAAAAAATGCAGTTGGTCATGATATTGGTTGTGTTTTATTGAATAATTTTGTACAAGTCTAAAAAATTCCTATATAACACTGTAGAAGTCTACAAGGAATCTGTGGGGCGCCTAACCCTTTCACCCGCCCGTAGACGCATCCTCTCCCACTGAGATAGAACTATAAATTCTGCACAATACCGACGTTAAAACGAAGGACATGCCCCGTGTAGCTAGCCATTAAATAGCCTTCGATCATAATGAAATCTTAGGGGCTTTAATTTGGTTATATCTTGTCTTGATTTTTAATATTTCGTCAAATAAGCCCTTTTTTCAATAACCGCGTCGCCACATGACATGAATCAGGTTTTGGTATCTTTTCTGAGTAATATCTAGGAGGGATATCCGGGACCTCTTGACAATCGCCCATATAAAGCGCTAGTATATTTTCATAATGCTAAAACACTTTTAGAAAATATGTCTTCAAGGGAATCACCCTTCCAAAAAAAAAGATCCCCCTTTTCCTAGTTTCAGAACTGATATCTGATAACTGAAAATCCTTAAAATTAACTTACTAGGGTAACGCTCCAAAAAAAAAGTGCAATAATGAGAAATTTATTCTAATAATTAAAATAATAATAAATTGTTTCTGAGCTTAGCAAGACATTATGATATTTTATTTTATGTTATATATTTAGTTCTTATGCCAAACTTGACCAACATTTAAATCTCCTCTTTTAACTTCAGTTTAAAATGCACTGAAGCTGTTATTATAAACATTTCATGTACCTTAAGACTCATCAATCTTGTTTATAAAAGTTTAAATATTACTTCAAATATATTTCTGCCCTCACTAATTGACTGATTGATTGATAATTACCTCTTAGCCTAAGTCGTAAGTGATAAGAAGCTGAAGTTTTTTAAAATACATCCCACACAAATAAAAGAGGAAAACTTTATACAATACGATTTCGTTAACCATCAGACTATTTACATAATTTTCATAGATATTTGCAAAAATTCAAATGGAGACGTGTTTCACACATTTCGGAAAGTCCATTTAAGGAACAGGTGGAAATCGATTCAATTGACCGATACATATGTATGTACATACATCGCCATATTCAAGGGAGCATTTCTCGCGCCCAACTCCACCATAAAATGCACAGCAACTTTTTTGGTTAGCGCCTTTCTTCCAATGCAGGCCGCCATTTTGTGGGTGACTCTCATTAACGGCTAACGGCACTTCTGTCTCTCTCCTGTTCATCCAATAGGAGCTCAGCCAGCAACGAGGCGAAAATTAATACACAGCCGCAATGGAAGTTCATTAAAAATTAAAAAAAAATTAAAATAAACAACGAAAAGAAGCAAAAAAAAAATGAGTGAGAAAATGTTCACACTCGTCCCACAAGTTATTTAAAAAGACATTAAAAGTGACACATGATGTGCAAACGTGACAGACAGACGCTGGCGGCGCAGAGGCAGAAGGCGGCTGCGAGTGGTGGCCACTGATTGCGTGGACTCATTAAAGTGGCCACCAAATGCCCAACTGGCCATTAATGTGGTGGCATATCAGGCAGACAAGGGACAGGGGCAGGGGCAGGGGCATAGCGATTGATGCTTGGTTAGTTGCGTGTAATTTTCACACCGTTGACCAAGTTATTTTAATTAGGTCTTGGCGCTCAGTCAACGTTGCCGGCAGAGGTAACAGAGCCCAATCGCAAAAGCCAGCATAACCAGCACCCACCATCCACCGCCCACCGCCCACCATCCACTGATGGCTGGCGGTGGGCGTGCAACCCCCAGGGGATGCGCTTAAGTGGCTTTGGGATGGGCATGGCTAGGCTTTGAAGGTGTCGTAATTGCACTCAGCTCGCCTGATTCCCGATAAAAGCGCTCAGGGTGGAGTGTGGTGTTGTGAGGGGCAAGAGCAATTCGAGGGGAAACGTTTCAACACAAACAAATTAAAAAGCACTTAACAGACCGAAGCAGCAGCAGCAGCAGCATCAGATGAGGAGGGCAGCTCCTCCTGCTCCTGCCAGGCGCCGTTGCCGTTGCGTGCGCTGCCACCAGGCTGGAAGATCATTTAGATCTCTGTCAACGCCGCGATCCGCGATCTGGGAGCTGAGATCTGGGCGCTGGGCGCTGGGAGCTGGGAGCTGTGAGCTGTATCCAGCCCTAAGCTCGTAAATTTCGAGACTTTGGCCTGGCGTGTGGCGTCAGTCAAAGCGAATTCAAATTGCCCAAGTTAACATCCTGTTGTCGGTTCTGTTTGGAGAACTCGAATCGGCCGCTTCTTAATTGAGGTTTAACACAACATTTACCGCTTTTTGCTAATCGCCTTGAAGCCGCCGCCGCCGCCGCCGCCGCCGACGACGACGACGACGACGACGACGATGATGACGACGACGTCGTCGGGGTGTGGCTGTCCAGAGTCGAGATTCAGCTTTCAGATCTAGGTGCCAGTCCCTAACCCAAATCCAAACGTACCAAAGCAAACCCTCCCCGTACGTGATTTCATTCATACAAAATCGCGCTCTGCGTTTTCCTGTTTTCTGTTTTTTGTTTTCGGTTTTTGGATTCGGCTTAATAACAACACGTCATGTCATTTCATTTTCGGCCAGAGTCTCGGACAGCGTCCCCCAAAACCATTCTTCATCCACAACTATCTATATATATATATATCGGAATACCCCTTCTCCCCATCCCCATTCCCCGTAATTCCGATGCCCATTGAGAAATGTTTATCACGCAATGTCGCGTCTGCGTTTTTATCCGCGTGCGCGGCTCTTTTCATCAATATTCGATGTTTGTTATTGTTGTTGTTGTTGTGTTGTTGCTGTTATATTTGTTGTTGGTGAGCAACTTATTGCATTAATATTTAACATTATTGACGTTTGCCCAATATTGACCCTCGTTAGAAACAAACGCGCCTAATGAAACTTACGAATTCGTTAATTAAATTTGATTTCTTCTGCATTTCAGATATTCCGTAAACCCTAGACCCATTAAAAACGAGGTATAATGTTGACGATACATGTATATATATATCATTATATTAATGGCATATCCGTCCATCTCTATGTCGAATAGAATATCAGATCTAGTAAAAACTGCAAATGACAAATTATGGACATTTCATGGGATTGAACTATAATGAGCTACAAATTGTTGCCTTTCAATCTGGTAAGATAAGCTGTGTTAATATAGATATAGATATACATATAGATAGATATAGATATAGATATATATATATATGTATATACATATAGATAGATATAGATATAGATATATATATATATGTATATAGATATAGATATATATATATATATAGATATAGATATATATATATATGTATATATAGATATAAGGGTAGATCCCTTTATGATTTATGATAATTATGTTATTAATCCACATTTCAACTTATTAATTAACATATAATAAGTTTAAATTTATTTTTAGTTCTTCGTCAAGATCTCCGACTTAAGTCTGTATATCTGTATGTATGTATATCTGTATGTATGTATATCTGTATGTATGTATATCTGTATGTATGTATGCATGTCTGTACATATGTGTGTATGTATGTATATTCGTACGTATGTAAGTATATGCGTATGCATGCGTGTTTGCATGTATGTACTTATATATGTATGCATGTAGATACTTACGTATGTATGTATGTTAGTATGTATATTATGTAAGTATGTGTGTATGTAAGTTTGTAAGCATGTATGTATGTATGTATTTATGTATGTATGCATGTATGCACGTTCGTATGTATGTATATGTGCTAATATGTATGGATATATGTACTTATGTATGCATGTGCATATGGATGTATTCATGCATCTATGTACATATGTATTGAAGCGATTCCTTTCTATGCAATTCTCATGAATTCAAGTAAGCCTGGCAGTTGCAATGCTTTGATTTTAACAAATTGTGTTGGCGGCAATTGAATAAACTGGGTACCCGCTGTTAATTTTACACAAAGTTACTCTCTTGTACTTTTACCCTCCCTCTCTCTCTCTCTCTCTCTCTCTCTCTCTCTCTCTCTCTCTCTCTGTGTCTCTCTCTCTTCCCCTCTCCCTCTCTCTCTCGCTCTCCCTCTCTCTCTTTCTTTCTCTGACTCTCCAAATGTCTCTCTCTGTCGCTCTCTCTCTCTTTCTTTCTTTATCTCTCTCTCTCTCTCTCTCTCTCTCTCTCTCTCTCTCTCTCTCTCTCTCTCTCTCTCTCTCTCTCTCTCTCTCTCTCTCTCTCTCTCTCTCTCTCTCTCTCTCTCTGTCTGCATGTCTGACTTATTTGATTCAGTTCTTTTTCACCTGCTTTTTCTCTAACCCGCTCTCTTTTTTTTAGGATGGTAAAAGAGTCAATACGCTCCCACTCATCAATGCCAAAAACAAATTCTTCCGTGTATGTGAATTCTGGGTAAGTATATTTAAATATATTTAAATATATCGTAATATATAAGTAAACCTACAAATATATTTGATAAGGCAATAAGTAATGTACTATATGTCGAAGTTATTCCGTCAATTTCGTTGAAACTTTATTATATTTCTCTGTTCATAAATATTTTTATTGTTCCCCAAAAATGCATAAGTAAAAGATAGGAATAATCTGTTCAATATATAGACTGAGTGAATTTTCAGCTAGATATTCGGAAGCGAAATTATTTTCAAATTATTTACTAGTAATCACTTAAGGGATGGCTCATAAGGGTATGTTAACTAACATTGGGTGCTACATTGACTCCAAATTAATATTCAAGCACTGCCCATGGGCCAAAAGCTTGTTTCTATTTTTTTTTTACTTTCTTCACATTTTGTAAATTATTTATGGGTGCGTTGGGGGCGATTTGGATGTGTCTTATCGCTAGTTATATATCACGATGACAAAACAAAGAGCGGCCAACAAAGCCGAAGACAAAATCGTACAAACCTTAACAGCAATAACAAAAGCAAAGCCACACACACACACAAAGTTGTTCACATCTCTTCGGCTCTTTGTTCGCTCCTCTTCTCTATCAGCCAAATGGGCCGTGACCAATGACAGCAAAACCAGCAACAACAACAGCAACAACAACACCAGCAACAACACCAATAACAACAGCAGCAACAACAGCAACAACGGTATCAGACGCTGAGTTGAAGGCGATAAATGTTCCAGGTTGTATGCTAATTTTGCGCGCTCTGTGGCCATATGCATACATATAAAACCCGATAGATACGATAGATGGGGATGCATTAAAATTGAATCGCATGACAGACAAGAAACAAATAGAAATCAAATAAAATCAATTTAAATATGGCATAAAATAGAAGTACAAAATCATGTTAGTTTAAAATGCGACAATATAAACGCAAACACAAAACGGACAACAACAAATGCAAATGAAGATTGGGTTAAAGAGAGATGCTCAATAAATAACAACTGCTTCGCTCTCTTGATCTCTTTTGCTCTCACTCATGCAGGCACGCACAGATAGGGCGAACTGCATAGAATTTAATCGAGTTGGTATTTATCTCTGCACTTATTCGCCGCAATCGCCCAAAATTCGCTGCATAATTTGTGAAATTAATTTACAGCTTTTAAAAGCGCGTCGAACAGGACACTCACACACACACACTTCAAGCCGCCATGCCACCCACTTAAATGAGTCAATTGTCACATGCAACAAATAGAAATAAAATTAGCACAATTTAAATATGTCATAAAGAGAATTAAAGTACAAAATCATGTTTGTTTAAAAGGCGACAATATAAACGCAAAGGCAAACGCGCACAACAAATGCAAATGAAGATTAGGTTAAAGGAGAGATGGCTCATAAAAAGATAACCGTTCGATCTCGCTCTCTCTCTTTCTCTTTTGCTCTCACTCATGCTTAAATGAATCGAGTTGATATTTATCGCCGCACTAAATCGCCGCAATCGCCACATTCGCTGCACAATTTGTGAAATTAATTTACAGCTTGGACTGGAGAATTGCACTTAAAATGCGCATAAAACGCGTCAAGCAGTGCTAATTATGGCCAAATGACAACGACAACAGCAACAGCGAACTCCCCTCAGCAATCCTAAGAGGACACACACACATACACACACACAGAGAGATACACACACGCCAACCCGCCATGCCACCCACTAAAATGAGTTGATTGTCACATGCAACAGATAAGTTAAAAGTGCAACGCTTTTGGCCGCAAACTGTTGCTGCTGCTGCTGCTACGGGGCAGGGGCATAAATCGCAGCACTCGCTCAAAATCTTATCGCCAGAACACATCAAAAGTCAAAGTTTTGCTTAACAGCAACCACAACAGCAACAGCAACAACAACAACAACAACAACAAAAGCCTCCACTCGACAATATTTTCCATGCTAAAAGACTTTTAAGCTGTCAACGACGGCGCTCATAAAAATCGACCACCGAACTGGACAGCTGGACAACTGCAGCACTGCAACTTGCCAAAGTTGCCACGTTGCCAAAGTTGCCAAGTTGCTCAACTGCTGCCCAACAGCGTCAAACTGTCTGCCATTGTTTTTAGCATTTAATGTGCCCCGGAGTGCCTGGCATTTGCCCACCAACCAGAACGATCATGCCCGCGGCCAGACTAGGATCATGTCAAGAGATTAGCCACAGAGTGGAGCACATGCCATACGCGATTTCAAATAATTTATTTCACTCCATTTCTCCCTCTCTCTCTCTCCCTCCCCCTCTCCCTTATACAGATCGCCCTTCTACGCGATTTTCATGCATTCAGGTAACGTATAAAGAATGTTAGCATTAAGGGGCAGCGGCAAAACAACTAAGAGTGGGAGTAAAATGTAAGAGCAACAGGGAACAGATATGACGAGAGCACGCTAAAAAGAGAGTTGGTGAAAAATAAAGAGCAAGAAAGTAATCGAGAGAGAGAGAAAAAAGTAAACATAGCAAGTAGCGGAGTAAAGAAGAAAACTATAAAAAAAGAGAAAGACAGTGTATGAAAGTGAGAGAGAGTAAGGATCAAAGAGAAAGACTTAAAAAGACAGAGAGAGAGAGAGAGAGAGAGAGAGAGAGAGAGAGTCTTCGAGAAGGCGACAGTTTTATTTAAAGTTAGAGCGACGAAGAGAAATAAAATTGTTAATGAAGATGATGAAGAAACTGGGAGAGCAATGAATATAATGAGAGTCAGATTTCCGCTATGACAGACTGGCAATTCTCATTGTCTTAATACATGGTTTATTTCATTGTCGATTGCAGGAAGAATAAAACAGGAACAGCTTTGAACGGCACATAGGTTCTACCTTTCAAGTTTTAAATGCAAAACTCCGTTTGTTTTAACCAACCGAGAGGCGAACGATACTCACATCCTCTTTGCTAAGGACCTTAGAGAAACTAGTGGACAATCACTCTCGATTACTGGCAGTCTCTAAAGATAAACTGAAGTCGAAGAGATGATTCCTTGAACATGGGGAAATAACTCTCTTTCAATGATCACAGTCTTGCTAACAATAAGAATTCGGGAGCATAAAAGAGAATCATGGGACTGCAGAGCAGCCTCTAGAAGATTATCTAGCAGTTATCAGGCCATTAATACTTGAGAATCAGGGCCTCAAAAGTAGGATAAATATATATATTTAACACTGCTTGTCCTGATTAGCTGACTGACAGCGCGATTGATGAACGCACAGCCAAACCCGTAAGAGCAAGGCGAAACTTATAAAGAAGCTTAGATAAGTGCAAGCTTATCGTGCACCGATCGTCTTTAAACTCGTTTGAGAAGATCGACGTGAAGTGTAATTTGATTAATCTCAAGAGTTCAGTTGGATGGATTAAATTTCACAAGAGCAGGGAATTTATGTAGGAAACTTGAAGAAACACAATTGGAGAAGGCGACACGTGCAAAGCCGGGTAACACTCGCTATTACTTTGCTGGCATCAATTGATTCCTTTCGCAACCAAGTCGGAATATTCAAGTCTGGTTCGATCGTCTTCTAGATGATCAACAGGGCAGGCTGAAGGATTCTGCAAAAGCCGATTGAGAAAAGGAAACGGGAAGACTAGTTATGCTAAGTAGCAAGCTTTATTTATTTAACTTAGTTTCAAAGTTGTTGTACAGTCGCAAAGGCCACGCCCGGCAAGCAATGCAATTGCCCATTCCTCAGCTAGCCGCCCGTCCTGCCCATTTTCCGCTCGAGTGATGCAAGGTTGACACGAGGATGAGCAAAACAAACAATTAATTGGACCCCAGTTGGTCATGTAACAAGTTGACATCAACACGTGCCTATCGCTGTGCGAGTGCGAGTGTAAAAGATGCTGACAATTGCCAATGGATGCCTGTAATTCCCAATCTATGAATAACAAATAGGCCCGTGCCAGGCAGACGGCTCCAGGCCCCCAAACAAACTAAGCAACTTGATGACTGGAGGGCACGTGGAGGCAAAGATGACTGCTGCTGCTGCTGCTGCTGTGTTGCTGGGAAATCAAATCATAATCTGAATTTTAAAGCAACCGAAACAACAACGTGAATGAATATGGAAATGTTGTTATTATACCCATTGAAAATGCGTATAAGAGGCATATTGATGTTGTGCAAATGTAATGTAAGACAGAAGAATGCTTCTTCGGACCCATAAAGTATATATGTATATATATTCTTGATCAGCACCCATAGCCGAGTCGATCTGGCCATGTCCGTCTGTCTGTCTGTCCGTCTGTCTGAACTCTTCTATCTCGGGAACTATCAGAGCTAGGCACCTCAAATTTGGTACCTCGTTATTTCAATTGCCCGCTTAGATCAAGCGACTTGCAAATTTTCGATAACATGCCCGGTTTTCATGAAACCGATGCAAATCGAAATCAACGCTTGTTTTTGCGCGAAGCTTTTAAGAGCTGGACACAGCAAATTGAGTATTTAGACTCTCGTATAGTATACAGAGTTCCCGAGTATTGCACTTTTTCGCCATATTTATGCTCCGTAACATATATTAATATCTTGCAATTAACACTAAGGGAAGAAGAAGCAGAACAGCGGAAGCAAGTTTGAAGTTTATTGCGCCTCTGGATGCGGGGTATCTGCCCGTCGGTTACACCCGACTAGAAAGCTCTTATTTGTTGATGTTGTTTTTGTTGGATAGGCAAATGCAATTTTACAACGTTATTATATGAAACGTTTGGCAGGCTTGTTTTCATTGAAGTGGCGGGGTGGGGGCGGAAACGGAAATGGCGTCGCCATCGCCATCGTCGTCGTCGTCGTCGTCGTCGTCGTCGTCCTATTCCTCCATATGAAGTCAGTTGCTTGTCGTGCGGGTGAAAATGAGATGGCATGCATTATGATGATATAGGACATACGCTTTGACGCCTTTTGATTTGATTGTCTATGACATCAGCGGCACGCCCCCCCCCCCCCACTCCCCCCTCTCCGACCACCCCCCGGCCAGCAACAGGACTCCCGCGTGTGGCATGGGCGCCATTTGTAATTCAAGTCAAAAGCGAGCTGCGTCGTTGTTGTTGTTGTTGTTGCTTTTCTGAAGGACTACGGATTATAATTTCTTTTCCGTTTCAATGCATTTCATTTCCGTGCCCAACGCACGCGCTGACACACACACACACACAAACACACACACACATACCCATATGTGCGTGTGTGTGTGTGCTTTGCATTTTTGACTCAATTATAATTTTTCATGCAAAAATGAGCATTGAGCGCGGAACAGGGGCCGGGGGTGGGGCGGGAGGCGGCGGGAGTCAACATACATAAGTAACGGTACTTGTAATCTGATTACATAACGTGATCAAATTAAAATGCATACAAGTATTCATATTGCCCGCTTCGACAGAGGAGGACAGGAGGAGAGAGAGATGATAGCTCCCTTCTCATTTGTATGGGAGTTCCACTGAAATTTTGCCACCTGCCAAATGGAACGAGTGAATGTGCCATGTGTGAATGCATCCAGAAGGCTCCATCAATATCCATATAAAACAAGCGACATATCGATTTGCTCGCCTTGGAGCTCTTCAATCAACAGTCTTTATTCCAAATTTGGGAAGCTATAGATGCACCAATTTGCCACGCCCCCAGTGAACATAGTCATTTAGTCTTAACAATTTATCTGATGCGCTTATATAATCCAGGTCTATTTTGAAAACTATTATAATAAGCTTCTTAATTGAAGGTTGCTCAATAAGAGATACCCTGTAAGACGTAATTAACCCAATTAAATGAAAGAATGTAGAAGTTTTTGGAACGCGATATTTATTTGGTGCATTGTAATCTGAAATGTACCTAGTCTGCATATGGCACAGGTCATATACGTATATATGTATATTATTAAAAAATGTCTTTCTAGTCGTTAAAATGCGAATTCTAAACATACTTTACCTTTAAAAACAACGAGAACGGAAGTTAACATCGATACGTTGGGTAGCGGGGGACGACGGGAAGACTATAATATGGCAGACGAGAAACTACATTCCACAATTGGTATCCGTATCTCTTTCAAGTTTTCGAAATATCTTCGGCATGCCAAAGATTGAATACCCTTGTAGAAATATGTTTATATACGACTTCTTTGATACGGAGTCGACTTTGGCTGTGGTATCTTGGAAATCAGAAAAGTTTTCCATGCCAAAACTCATTTTAGTCCGTTGTGTATAGGATTTTGCTTTTATGTAAGGGAGCATGCTAAAATTCGCAAATGCCATGTTTTGTCATTGAAAAACAACAAATTGCTTCATACAAGAACTTAATTTTCTTATAGTCGTTCGACCCGCAGATTGCGACATACAACAGACCGACAGACCTATGCAAAGATTTGTGATAATTGCTTTTAAACTAAGAGACTAGACAGGCATTACGAATATATATGCTCTATGGGGTCGGAAATGTCGCCTTCTGTGCGTTGCTTATTTCGTATAATCTCTACAAGAGTATTAAAAGGGAAGACGGAATCGATGGCTCAATAACGGGGAGGGGCTTCGCAAATCGGCAAAGAACTCGACTCAGCTTGTCCTCCTGGTCAGGAATATATATATTTAATGGACTTGGCGCTGCTGCCTGCTGCTTATTATATACGTACATTTTACAAGTACAAGTTTCAATAGCCAACCAAAACGATTTGACATTTTGAATTAAGAGATCGTAACAAATTTGAACCGGACGAGTAAATTTAAACTAACGTTAGGGCTAAGGATTGTCCCAGTTAAAAAATAATATTAGTTTGCCGAACAGTTGGGGCAACTGTCAGATGCTTATAACTACAGCCTAAACGTACAAATAATAAAAAACATGTTCTTCTTCGTTTCTCTTTCTTTCGCTCAATAAAACACTTAAATCTACATTTGTTACAGGATTGGTTTGACAAAAGGAGGGGGGCAAAAAAAAAACCATGTCGCTTAAACATAGAACCGTTTCGCGCATACAAATTCTGGAAAAAATTTACGACGGGAAATTTTCGGTTTGCTAATCGAATTACAAATGCGTCGATAAAAAAATACAGTTTTGTGTTTTGTTTCTTTTGGATGTTTTGAATTCGAATCAAAGGCCGAATTGAAGCTAGCCAAAATCAGTATAAATAGTTTCAAATTTGAAATAACGATGTGCAATTCGTAATGAAATGCAGCGCAACGCGAACATTTAAATAAAAATGTGGGCGCTTTCTCATTGTGTATGCGCAGTTATCACTATTTTGATCTGTGGATAAACCTCCGGTTTCGCGTCCGAGGTGATCAGCTGCACCATGCGTTGCTGTAGCTCATCCTGGCTGGCCTGTGTGCCGGGCGGTATCATCCATATGGCATCTAGCAAAAGGCAGAGAGACAGTGAGAGATGGAGAAGTGCACATATTTAAAAAACTCTGATCTGATCATTCAGTTGCGGCCTACACAGCTAAGCCCTCCACTCACCGCCAAAGTACCAACCGTTGGGCGTGCACAGGCGCCACATAATTGCCGGCTGTGTGGGCATCAGATCAGCCAATATATCACAAGTTTCGCCCGGACGCAAGGACGGCACATTGATGCGTTGCGTCTGTATTGGCGATGTTAAATAGCAGCCATTCGGCCAGCGTTCGTTGCCATCGTTCTGCAGCTGGAATGCCTGCTGCTGGGCATTCACGTGCTGGCCCTGCACAATCTTCATAGAAGGCAACGACTGCAGGCTACAAAAGTCCAGATAGCAACCGACGGCAGTTTGCAAGTTCCTAATCATATTAAATACATATATAATGTATATTCATATATGTAAGGTATAACTGCATATGAGCAGCTGAACGGGCCACTTACCAGTTGCTCATTTCCAAATAAAAACGAGCCGACTCGCGATTCATTTGATTATTCATGAGGCTCTGGAACTGACTTATCAGATCCTCGTGGTCTGTGGTGCCCATGCAACTGAATTGCTGCAGCAGCAGAGAGTCAATATCATAGTCGTTTGTGGGAAGAGCCGCGCCGAGACCCTTGATCTGCGCTGCTTGTGCGGGTGTTGGTAACGCTGAGGAGACAGCTGGCACTGGTCCGGACAGAACGAGGCTCGTCCCAGGCGGCGCTGGCAACGGTATTGCAATGTTGCCAGTGTCCATCATTGGATTTGTGGTTGTTGTTGTATTTGTGGTAATGCCAAACAGCGGCTCGCATTGCATATCTTGCAGCAGTTGCATTTGCTGTTGCTGCTGTGGAAGCTGCTGCTGCGACTGCTGCATCTGCATCTGCATCTGCATCTGCGGCTGCGGTCCCTGCTGCGGCTGCGTCTCTGTTGTGCTTTGTGACTCGTAGTTTTCCTCGACGTCCATTGCTTTCTCTGTGTATTTCAAATATCTTGTTGAATTTCGTCAATCTGCAATAGAATTTGTAAAATGCGTTGTAAGCACGTTTTTGTTTTTATTGTTTCATCGCTGCACAATGACAGACAATGGTATACGACTAATGAACCTGCCAGTGGGGCGATGTGTTCCAGCACGACGGTCTTGCTATTGGCTTGGCGCACTCAACTTGATTATTTATTTAACTGCCTTATGCACATTTATGTGCTACGCACTTCTCGTTTTGTTTTACATAAATATTGGACTAAAACATTAAAAAGAGGCTGCAGTGCAACAAAATGTAGCAGTGTGACCGCATGCGTGCTATCATGCAAATACCCAAGTGAGTGCGAGGCGAAATTATATTGTAAATACCGAACAAATACTGAATTTAATGTTAGCTCGTTGACGGATATGTATGTGAATACTTGTACTGTTACGCCGTACACGAAAACGAAAATATCGATGCATATTATTTGACAGCAAAATAGCCAGCAAACTGTTAAGTGTGGAGCATATGTTAATAACATAGCACTGTCGCGTGAGGAGTATACAAATGTTAACATTTCAAAATTGGACCGTTGCCAACGGCCCGGAAAAGCTCAACGTAAAACCAATCTTTAGCAAATCCTTGCCCTTAGATTTCGTAGACAATGTATTTAAACACACACAAAATTTAATTTATTTAGAATTAATCGGTGCAGGGCAGATATCGTTGATAATTGGAACCTACTGCTTTGTTTATATTCGCATAGCCCAACTTGGTGAGCCATGCGGAAAGCTCACCCTTGACACGGTCCACTAATTCAGGGCCCTCGTATACAAAAGCTGTATAGATCTGCACATACGATGCGCCGGCCGCGATTTTCTCGTACGCATCCCGGCCGGATGAGACACCGCCCACGCCAATGATGGGCACGCAGCCTTTGGTCAGCTCGTACATCTGGGCAATTAGCCTCGTGGAGCGGTCCCGCAGCGGCTCCCCACTTATGACGCCGTTCTCTTTGGCCAGCCTGGAGTTTCTGAGATTGTCCCGATACATTGTCGCATTGGACACAATAAGGCCATCCACCTTGCAAGCACACATTTCGATGACGTCGGCCACGTCCCGCATTTCGTCCAGTGTCAGATCTGGTGATAGCTTCAACAGAATGGGCACATTCAGCTTGCCCCCCAGCTGGGAACGCGCTTTGTTGACACCCGCCAGAAGCTCGATGAGCTTCGTTTTGTTGTTCACGCTCCGCATGCCCTTCAAGTGGTCGTAGTTGACAACAAGATAGTCGGCCCAGGGGGCGAAGGTCTTCACACCCGTCATGTAGTCCGTGACAGGTGTCTTGGAGGTGCGATTGCGTTCCAGATTAACGCCCACGACAGCGTCGAAATCTTTGGTGGCTCGCAACTGGCGCAGCCGCCGCACCACCGCCTCGTGGCCATCGCTATCGACGCCCTTCCGGTTGATGATCGCCCGATCGTTGTGCAGGCGAAAGATGCGCGGCTTAGGATTGCCCTTCTGGGCCTGGGGCGTAACGCTGCCAATCTCAATGAAACCGAAGCCCAAATCCTTCAGCCCTCGCACTGCCTCACCGTTCTTATCGAAGCCGGCCGCGATGCCAATGGGATTGCTTATGGGCCGGCCAAAAAACGAGGTCTTCAAGTTGATGTTGTCCCTGTAGCCGGACACTGGATAGAGGCGATACTTGCACGCCATCAAGGCCAAATTGTTGCCCGCCTCGGCGGGCAGCCAACGCACTGCCGGCAACACAAATGTCCGGAACAGGCCGTCCTGGTTCTCGTACACGCTCAGGCCCATGTATAGGGCCACGACTCCTGCCGTCACGAGGCCCACCGAACGCAGCCGGCCCTTGCGAGACCAAAGGTCTTTGTAAATCTTGATCTGTCAATCGAATTGAGGGGGGGGGGCGGGCGGGGGGGTTTCTGGAACTCACCTTTGCATTGGGTTGAACCATGGTTAACTATTGGAGATGTGTGGTTGGTTGGACCGATCGGATCGGATCGGTTTTTTGCTGCTGAAGTGTTTCGCTGTCGTGAGTTTGAAATTCGTTTACGTTTACATTTTCCAAACCTAAATTTTATATTGGTACTACAACTATTTGATAGGATATGCCAAACGCAGTCGGAGCTAGTTCATTTCTAAGCTAAATCACATCGATCTGGTTCAAAATTGAGCTTCTAAAAGTGAGAAAGCATGTTCTTTATATGTATATCTAATTTTCTACTTAATATTTCTATGCATATCCTTGTATATTCGCATTTTAAGCGCAAAGAGCTGCTCGGCTAAATCCCGCTGTCATTGCTGCCCTAACCTCAATTTCGGGCCGATTCTTTTCATAGAACTATATGAAATTTTAATCCGATTCGCTCACATATACATATATATGTATGGAAAAACTCGTATGTGCCGAGGCAAGTGAACATATCTTGCAAGATAAACAAGTTTTTAATTTAAGAACTTTACTGTCGACCGATTACTCCCCTGACAGGATAGTTTTCCGACAAATGTAATGATTGCCCACCTGAAACCCTCTGCAATATATCGAATATATTAATAATAATATAAAGTTACTTATATTAATTACCATCCTCTTTTGATGTACTCACTCCCCAACAAACAAAACTGTAAAGCATCGATGCTTGAGTACTCAAAAAATTGTTGTTTGTTATGCAACACTGGTTTTGTTTCGACTTTAAATTGAAACCGACAAAATTTCTATGAACTGTGTAAATTTCTGTTGCGGTCTTTTGTTAAAATTAAATTGCAGATCCTTGGCAAGTTTTATTTTGGCATGCACATCGATATATATAAATATATATATATGTATGTATATTTATGTATATAGCCAGTTTCAAGGGCTGCTGGAGTTGGGGCATTGGGTCGAGCAGGGTCTGTCAGGGCGACAGACAGCTTTGATAAGGCGTACGAGTCGAGCAGAATAAACAAGCATTAATTTTAAATTTTTGGAAGCGTACATACAACAAAATTTCATCTGGTTATACTTTTTCCCCTCCCTTCCCACCGCAAAATCTATAACTCTGAGGCTTCCTAATTTTCTTCTATCCAACCCACACACACACACACAGACAGTAATCAAAAATAAAAAAAATAAAAAAAAAAAACAAAAATATGATGAAACTCCATGATCTCTATGGACAATCGTTCTCGCACGAGTTTCAGGTGAGTACGGCTTAGACTCCTTCGCGAGTGGGCGTGACATTTGGTTAAACCCGGCTCCGTTTCGCGCGACAGTTCACCAATCCGGACTCGATCAAGAATGCCGTCAAGCGATACAACCAGCAACGCGCCGCGGAGAGAGACGAGAACCGCAAGGAGAAGGAGTTGCATAAGCTGAGCAAGCCGCGCTTCTGCAAGATGCGCAACACTGGCCGCGACGTGCTCGGCATGGTGACATCGCGGGACCTGGACGTGGAGACGCAGATGTCGCTGCGGGCCAAGCAGCAGCTGCTCGATCTGCAGCAAAGCAGCGGCGGGAACAGTCGCAGCAGCAGCTGCCGTAGCCGGTACCGAAGCCCAAGCAGCTGCAGCAATGACGACCAGGAGAATGATGTACAGCTTGGCGTGCATCGTTTGGCGGGCGGCGCAGATACGATCGCGCCTCATGCCGTCAACCGGAGCAAGAAGCTGCGCAACCGTAAGGTGAAACCGGGCGCTGTCAAGCAGAAGCTATCGGATACGGATCACTATGCAGCGCGGATCGAGGGGCTGCATCGGGAGGTGTGCGCCGAGCTGAAATCTATGGGACAGACGCAGTCGGAGCAGCTGCGGCTTACGTCGCCCAGGCGCAAGTTGAAGCAGCGACGCGTCCAGAAGCAGCAGCCCGTCAAATACCAGGCCGCCGCCAATCAGCCACAGCAGGCGCCGCAGCAGGCGCCGATCAAGAAGACCGAGCAGCGCCGGAAGCCATCAATTAATACGGAGAGCGCACCAGTACACTCGGAGCCAGACATGATACTGCAGCGCCTGAAGCAGAAGCTCAATGAAGATGAGCCGATGAAAATGAAGCAAGTATCCTACGAGGATTACCCCCAACCGGAGAGCCAGTGGGCGGACATAATACCCTCGCCGATGATGCCGCAGGCGGTGGACGTGAATATGTGCGAGCCACTGATTGCGCGCCAATCGGCCGGATGCCTGTTTATGGAGCAGCATGTGCCCGTCGAGCCGGTGCCCCTGGATCCCTACTTTGTGGAGGACAGCGATCTGGAGCAGGAGTATGCCGATCGTCCCGGCTACATGCGCTACATTGAGCGTCTGCCTTACACCCTCAGTGAGCCGGATGTGGCCGAAAATGGCGGTCCACAGAAGGCCTGCTTCGTGGAACTGGAGCCGCATCCCCACTGGATCAGCTTTCAGCGCAGCCTGAAACCAATGCATTACACATCCCAGCGTTCCGACACAGATACCTGCACGCTCTGCGAACAGGAGGAACAGGAACGGGAACAGCTCACCTATTGCAGGCACGAGGAACAGTCAACCGCTACGGCTGCTACTGACAGAACCACGGTCACCATCAATCCTGCAGCCAACGGCTCGGCCACTGCTCGGCAACAGCAACAGCCGCCGCAGTCATCGGCTAGGCGATATGGACACAGGCTGTCGCTGGATCCGGCGACACCGGCCAATATAAAGCTCCGGACACCGAAGGCGACGCAAATGGCGCAGGCGTTGCGCAGCGGCGGTGGCGGCGGCAGCGGCAGCAGCAGGCAGCCGAAACGGAAGCTATTGCAGGAATCACCGGCTGCAGCCAAAGCGCAGACGCTGGGCCGCCAGCCCGGCGGACGGGACAAGGAACAGCAGCAGCAGCAGGCAGTTGGCGGAATGTCGTCGCCGCAACCGCAGCCGCAGACAGAGGCATCCACGGCAATGGCTGCGACACCGGCGCAGACGCCGCCGGCGAAAAGTGCGGCGCCACGTCGGAAGGCACGCACCGTGATCTGCACGAGGTCGCTGGAGAATCTGAAATACCAGAAGATGTCCATTTACAACAAGATCTCATTGACCCAGGAGCGCATCATATCGGCCCTGGACCGGCTCCAGAGCAGCCTGCTGCAGCTGCCGTTGATCAGCAACAGCAGCCAGGAGAAACAGCGACGCGAACGGAACGCGTTCAATTTCTGTGTGAGATTCTCGCGGAACTTTCTGTATCCGCTGCGCGGCATGATCGAGGATGTTCGCTGCACGCCGGTGGCTAACTTCAACAGCGCCACCTCGAACGAGGCCAGCCAGCGGGTGGTCTGCGTCTACGGCCTGATGCATCACTCGATTGGCCGTTACCAGCGGCAGGTGCGCTACTTTCTCCTGGACAAGGTGCCGCAGAAGCTGAGCGCCCTCATCGAGATGATGTACACATTGACGAACGTGTGCCTGGAGAAGGGCGTCCTGGATCGTCACGATCCGGTTGTGGAGTGCCTGCAGCAACGCTGCACCAGCTTCCTAACATTCATTGAGGACATGCAGGAGCAGCGCTTTCAGCTGGCGCGCGAGACCTATCGGCGCCTGCAGAGGCGCGTCCATGGCAATGTGCATGGCCATGGGCTTGGACATGGGCATGGGCATGGCCAGGTACGGCCGGGCATGCACGAACGCTACGATCTCAAGATGTTCCTCAACGATCTCAAGCTGTATGAGCCGCGCCTGGTGCCCAAGGAGCGCATTGAGAAGCGTCGCCCGCGCCCGTGGTTGCGCAAACCCAAGCTGCTGGCAGATCCCATCGGCAGTGCCCAGCCCGTGCCGGGTGTCATCCTCGGTCAGCCACCCGAAATACAGCCGGAGCAGCCCACCGAGGATGTGCCCACCCACATCGAGTGCGTCCAGTGCGGCGACTATCGCGGAGAGCCGTCCAGTGAGCTCGACGAGGAGCCCAGCGAAGACCAAAAGCATCAGCTGACCAACATATTGGCGCTGCTGCAGCAGCCCGGACGGGAGAAGCGCGAGCTGCACCGACAGCTCCTGGAGGCCATGGAGCATGTGACCAAGTCGCAGGTGCGCGAGGTTCTCGATCCCCTTGTGCGCTCCCTGGGCGCCATGTTAGACAAAAAGGTAACTATCTAATTGAAATTGAAATTGAAATTGAAACTGAAATTGAAACTGAAATTGAACAACGATACAACTCGTGCCTCTGCTCTCTATGTGGATGCACAGTTTACAGATGAAGCCCCTTGAGGAATAGACGCTGGCAGGAACCAAATGAAACAATCTGAGGAATTTTCTGACATTTCTTTTCGGCCATCCAAATTGTTAAGTAGCTTATTATAATGCATATGCACAAGTACATATGTGAGTGTTCTAATAGTTAGTGGGATGAATAAAATGTATCAATTTGATCGTTATAAAACCTCACCCTTCCCCCACAACTAATTATGGGATAAGTGATGAGCTCCTGAGCTGATCCCGGATCGCCATCACGATTATAATCAAATCACAAAGTGTGTAACCCATAGAAGAAGACGCGTCCGATCCCATATTATACATTCTTGATCAGTGTTAGTTTTAAAATTATTGTCATGAATATTGGTCTTATTGGCCGGCCGGATCGGAACAGTATTATATAGCTGCCATTATAATGAGTAATAATAATAATAATAATATATTGACCAAAATCTGGACTTTAGTGCTTTAAATTGCTCCTTACACAGCAGGCAAATCTTGTTCAAGTCGGACAACTATATCATATAGCTCTATGGGAAGAATCAGTTTTTATATTTAAAACTTCTGTTTCTTCCGGCATCAAGACCTAACTCAGAATTACGAGCTTTAGTAGGCTCCAAAAATATATCTGCAAAATCGTGTCAAATCGAACTACTATAAAATAATTTCATAGCCAGACGTATGGCTAGGGTATTTATTAGCCGTTCTTTCTTGTCTTTAACTACATGATATATACTTTTTGTAGCACTTGGCATCGCCATATAGCATAGATAGAGAGAGCAATATATTTGCATACATATGTCTAGAGAGAGAGAGAGAGAGGGAGATAGAGCGCGATAAAATGCTGACAAGTTCCTGTTTGAAATAAAAGGCTGCAGACCAAGATTAATTGTCATATATTTGTATAGCTTCAGAATAACAATACAATTTAGAAAGAGATAACATGTGAGATAAAAGAGATAGTAGTATAGAAAGAGAGAGCGAGAGAGATAGTGTTGCAGGCGACAAAGTGTATGTGAGTTAGGTGTAGCATATAAAACAACTATGTAAACACAATTATATAGTTAAATATTTTTCATATATATATATATATATATATATATATATAAGTATACGTTCTCACTCACGCCCACCGATCCGCCCGCATCCCCTACCCCGTACCCCTGGCCACACTTCTCGCGCCAAACAACTCTTGACAGCTCTGGCAGCTCTGTTCTAAATGCATATTTCTTGTAAAATGCATTTCATATACAAAAAAAAAATAATAATAAAATTAAAAAATATCTATATATTTTGGTACATCCGAACGCAGCTAAAGGCGAAGTAGGAGGCGGAGCTCTCCAAGTGGCGAGTGTGTGTGTGTGCGTGTGTGTGTGTGTTTATTGTAGAGTAGTCAGAACTCTTTCCTTTTTGTTAGCTTGGACTCGAACGTTGACTTTCGAATAGTTTGTTTAAATTATAGTTGTGTTACGTTTTAACTTTGTTCAACAACTGCGAATACTACAAATACCATAAACATCTATAATATACATCGATCTGTTGTGCGTGCGTCCGTCTGCCCGTACGCCCGTCCGTCCGTCCGTCCGTCCGTGCAGAGGGGTGCCCGGGCCTTCCAGCCTATTCCGAACAGGCCGTGCACATCGGCTTATTATCCTCCACTGCGAACGTGCTGGCCGTAATGGGCGTCAGGCACTTCTGCAAGCAAAATGAGAAACCATTAGATATAGAAAAAGATATACTACGGCTCAAATTTGCCTATATGCTGATGCACCCACCTTGCACTTGAAGCAATCCCGATGCCACTTGGCGTTGAGCGCCACAATGGCATTCTCCGTTATGGGCAGAGTGCAGCCGGCGCAGCGGGCCGCGAACAGCTGCTCGAAGTCGATGCGACAGTAGGGTCGACCGTCCCGCTCGTAGAAGGAGGTGCCCACCAGCGGCTTCTTGCATGGACCGGCGCATACGAAGCACTCCTCGTGCCACGACTGCTCCATGGCCTTGATGGTGCGCTATTAACGAGAGAGCAATGTATTTTTAATCAAATATTTCAAATTTAATCTAGGTACAATAAATACACTGACGATTCCAATCAGCTGCATTCGTGCATACATACATACATATAAACATAATCTCAATCAAAGCCAATCAATCACACACCCATCGCAATTCACGCGACCTTGTGACATTGATGTAAACACAACTGACTATAAGACGACAGAATGAACTTTTTTTAGCAGGCAGTATCGAAGTTCTATTGCTCTTTCTATGCAATTCTCACAACTGCTTTTCGTTAAAAAAAAACTGGCAAATAATATACATTGGAATCAGAACGTTGTAGTGTTGCCAGAGTCTTACGGCTCTTTCTATGCGATTCTCACAACAGGCTGTCATTTGAAGCGGATGGCAAACAATACGGAGGGTTGCATTGGAATATAAAATAGTAGTGTTGCCAGAGTATTGCAAGACGAAATCCCTTTCTATGCAATTCTCACAACAGGTATTCATTTAAAATAAATTGTAGTTCGTTAACGAACGGATTAGTTTTTGTCAACTAACTCAGGTTATAAACATATTTAAACTCCTCAGCTCCACTTTAAAAACTTGTTACCTTTTACTTATGTCAACGTTAAGTTGACTTAATTCAAAGAAAATCTTTATATTATCTTAGTCTTAGTTGTGAGATTGATTCTTTTATGTGAACAAATAAGATCAGGAAAAAGTATATTTAATATACAGGAATATTGTAGTATATAGATTCGTATTATTCGGCAACTTGTTTAATATGATATTACAGGAATGCTGTGTTAAATTAAATTTAGAACTTTTCATATTTAAATATAAATATATATATTATCATCTAAGTGATTATATTGCCGTCGATGCAGCACCTCAAGAGCTGGATAAACTAGCTTTTCCGCCCGTATAATAGTCCTATAAATAGATATCATATACTATATGCACTTCACCTTTGCCGACAAAATGACGATCAAGTATACGACGCGCATCTGCATGCATGTACGGGTTAAATATAATCAAGTTTCCTATGCATTACAATCTTTATAGACTATACGAACAAATGTTGACAATATTAATTACAAATGCCGCCCGCCAACGCTCATAAAGCGCCAAAGTTTATGGCAAACAGACGACGGCGACGATGTCATCAATGTGGATCTTATGTCAACGATTCGGACGGGTACTGAGACTTAGAAACTTTTGATCTTTAGTCTATGACTGGGGCTGGGACGGGGACGGGGAAGAGTGCGGGTACTGAGACAGATTAGAAACTCCAGATGTTATGCCTATGAGTCGGGTAGGAACTGGGATTGAGACTGGGCTAGTCTTGAACTTGTGTCCATGACGTGGACTAAGAAACTCTTGATGAGAATGTCTATGGTTTGGGACGGGGACTGAGAAAGTCTTGATCATATGTCCATGAGTCGGATAGGGACTGCGACTAAGAAAGACGTAAGCTTGTGCCCGTGACTCGGACAGACTGGAACTGTGACTGGGACTAAAACTGAGAAATCCTTGATGTTATCTCTATGAATAGGAACATGGACTGCTGCTGAGACTAAACAACTCTTGACCTTCTGTCCATGACTCTAACGGTGACAAGGACTAAGAAACTCTTGGCGCTTAAGCCTATGAATTGCCCTGGGATGAGGACTGGAGGACAGGAAATTGCAAAATTGGAATGTCTATCGGTAAAGGGTACGGCCGAGTACTTACCTCCAAGATGGGTTGCTTGCAGCCGAAACAGGTGCCCGAGTAGTTGCTCACGAAACAATCGGAGCAGACCGGCTCCCCGCTCTGTATGTTGAATGTGGCCTCGGTGATGGGACGCTGGCAGTCCTTGCAGGCAAAGTGCTCCGGATGCCAGGTTTTGCCCAATGCCGTAATGATGCGCTGCTGTATGACCTCATTGCACTTGTGACAGATCGATGCCGGTTCCGACTGCGCGAGATAACAAAAGAATCGCGCTCAATTAGAATGGAAATCACGTCGGCAATGCGTTCAAATATTTCATAATTTGATATACCCAGTTCACAGCAAAGTGACTGGAATGGGTGACTAAATGGTGCGAATGAATGAGTACATGAATATACCATATATTTATAATATATACTTATATAATACATAGCTCCGTGCCGTCCAAAGGGGCGTTCAAATTGTGCCTTGAGTTCATAAACCGCACAACAACAGCGATTTGCGTAATTCAATGCAAAAAAAGAAAAAACTTCAGAGCCCCCCACCGCAAAACGCAGAAGAACAATAATATGATGTGTACTTTTTTTAAAAATAATAATAATAAAATGATGAGCATCAGCATTAAATCATTTTGATTACATATTATACAGTAATGAGTCTCCCTCCGTTCAGGCGGCTGTCTCGAGCAGTTCCCCAATTAAACGCAATCTAGGGAAATCTAATCGTTTCCCATATTTCACAAATCTGAGTACCTACACATTTTATTCGCCAATTTGCATCAAAAAGTAATCAGGTCTTACATATGTAATTTTCGATTTTACTTTCAAATCAATCAAAATAATTGTGAGTTGCTTTTCGAAATCGTTATAGAACTGGGGACCTATAATTTGGGTCGGCTCCAAAGAGTATGCTATAAATATTTCTGTGAAATTGTGCCAAAAGTGGAACTAGGAACACAACTTTAGAAATATAAAATATAAGAAACTCATTTGCAAAAAAGGAATGTACAGTATTTAGTTTAGGAATACGTCTGTTAATAATAGTATTATATAATTGAAGGTCTTTTGTTTGACATGGCTTCAGAGCAGGATCACATTGGAGTTTTGGTATATTTTGTATAATTGGTAAATGTCTTAAAATGAAATCAAAGTACAAAGTGGAATCTGTGGCATCGTTTCGAAAATATAACTCAGAACAGTCTGGAGTTCCTGAAAGCTCTGTTGTCATCACTTAAATGATGTTTACTTTCCAATAAATTCTACTGACAAATGATGTTCACTTTCCTATAAATTCGAATGGTTAAAATTTGTGTTTTCTAGAGATGAAACCTGAAACCATTTGATTTAATGCCACTTTTTATTTCTGTGGCTAATGCAAACTGGAATTTTAAGTAATTAAATCGTAAGTTGAGTCTTAAAAGTCTAAATGACAAACGATCAAATTAAGAGTTTCGGCTAAACCGCTTCTAAAGTTTATTCACCTTGAACTTTACACTCGGCTTCTGCGTAATACTAAAGATATTTGTTCTCCCTGACAACAGGTAGTTTGCAAGTAGACTCAAGAACTTGTCCAGAGAGGTAAAAAGTAAGCCACAAAACCAGTTCGATTCCGGAATTGCAATTAATTATTTACTATAAACCGAACCTTTGCGCCAACCAGTTAAATACCGAACCGCACCCCGATCCAAAGCCATATATTAATCAAGATCATTAAACCAAATTGTGGATTCAAAAAGGTTCCAGGTTCAGAAATCGAACCTAAAAGTAGGGAGCTGGTTCACAGCAAGAACCGAACCACATGATGCGAAACAATTGAGATTTTCCAAATGCGAAATTTGGAAAGCAAATTTTATAAATTTCATGGCAATTATGCCATAGGAGATGGCCATGGCAATTAGATAAACTGGCCCCGCCGAGTGGCATTTACAATTCATAATTGTCCATAAGCCCAAACATTACAAATGTACGCTATCTGCGGTTATTCATCGATTTGATGACACGTATCGCGCATTTGCTCAGGTGTCCATGGCTGACCATACTGGCCACCTGGCTGTTAGCCCACTGCCATATGCCGTATGGGCCACCCACGCGTGGCAATGGAAGCGAGGTTTCTTAGCCGAGTCGCAAACCATTCTGAGGTGTCGCTAAAGGCGTCAACCGATTGTCGCTGATAACGGTGGGAAGAAGATAAAATAAAACAACAAAAACAAACAGCAAGGCGACGTCACCACAGGGCAAACGGTCAACGGTAAACGGTAGAAGGTAAACGGTAGAAGGTAAACGGTAAATGGCAAACGGTAAATGGTAAATGGTAAACGGCGAACAGGCAGGCGCATTAAATGAAAATCGTTGCTCATAAAAATGAAAAATGGCAGCAGGTCGTAAATTTCACCAATTTACACGATGCACTTGCGCTTGTGAACGCGAGGGGGCACACTGGCGCGCGGCGGTGGCCTGCTGCCAGCGCATTGGCAATTGCTGTTCTATTTGCGTGCGTGTGTGTGCGGTGCGCGCTGCTGCGCCTGGCAGCGACGACGTCGACGGCGGCGCTCTCCAAATTTAATTTGCCCGAATTAAACGCACATTAATTTTTCGGCTAGCAATTGCGGGCACTTTGCTGCCTGACTAGCTGCCTGTTGCTGTTGCTGTTCTTGTTTTTGTTTTACTTGCTTATTTAAAGTTTGCGCCAGATGTAGCAACAACAAAGAGAACAAAACAAAAAGAAGAATAACAACAAGAACAACAACAACGAAGAAGACGACGAAGACGACGTCTCACTTAGATCATCGCTAGAGTTAGAATTGAATTAAGCAAATGAACACAAATCAACGCTCGAGAGAACGAAGCAGAGAGAAAGAAGGAGGGAGAGTGAGAGCCAGAGCGAGAGCGCCACTCGAAGTAAGTTTGCTTGAATGGCCCTACCATAAAAGAAAACAGTAATAAAAACAACAACAACAACAACAAAAGCAAGCAACAAACAAACAAAAAGCAGCGCAGCAAACGACAGCGCACAATTTCATGAAAAATTTAACGCCCAAACAAACAAAAAGGAAGAAGCAGAAAAACACACGTCTTCAGTTCCACGAACATTAAATACCCTAATCGCTTTTAGATATATAATAGACTGAATCGGAAAATTATTTCATATGGCTGCCATATAAATGATCGGTCGTAAATGAAGTTCTTGTACGAACATTGGCCAAAACCAAATCAGGATATTCATTATTCCCATCACATACATACATATATGTATGTGCAAGCCTGTAAGCCATATGTCTACAAGGGTATTGCATTTTCGAGTACGCCGAAGATAGCAGTTCATTCTAGTTCTGTTTTTGCTTTGTCAAAATTGTAAACATTAAGTAAATATTTTCGTTAGTAGCTTGCAAGCCACAAAAATTAAAGTTGTCGGTGGTTCCGTTCACGTTTTGAACTAGCTCGCTGCGTTTAAGTTTTAAGAGGATTTGGTTCAAAAGATGATTTGTTATTAGTTTTAAAACTTTAATGAGAAAATGAAATTTTTAGTATGCGATCGCCCGTTCTACTGAAAATATTGTAAGCCTTAGATATTTTCATATAGAAGATGCGGGCTAAATTTGTGCCCTAACCAAAGTTGGGTGCTAGGATCTCTCTCATAAGCTTGTTAGTTTGAACCGAAATTGTTCGAAATACATAGTTTATTTGAGGTAAGATTTAATTTAAGCTTAGGCTCGCGTTACAAAATAATTTGCTGTTATTCGATTTGAATTAAGGTTAGATTGCGTGAATGGCAAAAAAAATAGATATCATGGTACATGATAGTATTTTAGTCCAATAAGTCCAATTACAAATCATTTTAAAATGTTGGAAAATGTAATTTAGTGTCGTTATAATATTGTGAGTTGTAAGCCTTAAAGATTTAATTTGAATTTGGGAATATGTATTTTAATTTCCAGGATCTGAGTTCGGATTGAATCATGTTTCTCTGCTGACTTCTGCGCTGAGTGCACCTGTTTGACTTGTGTTCTGATTGGATTTTGAGTTCTTATCAGTTAATTGCTGCAATCACAATGCCGCCGCAGTTGCCAAATGAGCAGCAGAGGCAACAACAACAAGAATGAGAATAATTAATAACAAGCGTAAACAACAATTTAGCCGGCACAGTTTTTCCCTTGAAAAGCCAACAAACCGCAGTAAGTCAAAACAATTTATTTCAATTTTTGTTGAATTTGTATTTTGTAGTTTGCTTATTCAAATGCGATAATTAAAATATTGCACACATGATTCATACAACTCGCACACACTCTCTCTCTCCCCACTCTCTCTCTGTGTGTGTGTGTGAGGTCTATTGTTGCTGCTGCTTCTATTGCCCAGAGGCCATCAATCAATGCTGTCAATCAACGAGGCGCTATGTTTAGCCATACAAATTGCTGCTTTCGGGCAACATTGCGTATAAGTAATTGCCATTTGAACTGCCCCCGTCGCGGGGCGTCGCGGGGCGTGCCGGCGCGTGAGGGGGCGTGGCAGGGAGTGGGTGGTGAGCCTGGTTGTTGCAGATATTAAAAGATCACTTAACGCCGGTCGTTGACCCTGACATACAAAAATTGTGAATAAAACATTTTTCGGGCGTAATCCGATACGAGCTATTAGGTCTATACAGAAAACACTTTATTCTCGGGTTTTATTCTAGATTAAATCGGTTAAAACTTAAAAACAAACAGTGAAACCCCGAAAAAACACATAGAAAATCATAAAATAGAATAAATGTAATATTATTTCAGAAGCTTGTTAACTGTTTAGAATTATTCTTAATTATGCAAAAATAGATAACAATTACCCAAGGAATATAAAAAGCAAAAAAATATAGATAATCATACTTAGTTAATTCAGACAAAATGATAAAACGTCGAGATCAAACTAATAGCAAATACATTTTGATGGATAGAACTTAAATATGGAAAAGAAAATGTAGAAACTTAAGTTTCAATCTGTTTAGGAACTGAGGAACTTTTTTAAATACTTTTTATTTCGAAGCCTTTCTCCTTAGAAATGATATGTGTTGTAAGCCTTGACCCAAGGAGAATATTTTGATTTCTTCAGAAATTTGGATTGAGCCTAACGAGGACTAAACATTTTTAATTTCGAATAAATATTTTTTGAGTCTGCTTTGCAGATATAAACGATTGATATGCACAGTATTTCCAGTTTAATCTATTAATTTTTAATAATAAAAGCTTTGCGCCTATGATGTTCTGGACCTTTATAAATATAACATAACTCAGTCTCTATTAAGACATATACATATATTTTTAACTTGACTCAGTTTCTATAAGTTAATTAAAAGAAAGGGTCTCAATTTTAAAGAAAGAGAACAACAAGTTTAGTGCTTTAGGTTTCTGGTGCAGGAAGTTGATTTATACTTCAACAAAAGGCTCTCTGAACATTATAGAAGATATATATACATATATATATATATATATATATATGGGTAAGAGAGTGAAATTGAAATAAATCATTCGCTTCAATTGGCTGCCAAATTTAGCCTCGGAATGCTTCTCTCGCCCAACGAGTGGAAATGATGTCAGAGCAGAGCTTAATGCTGGAAATTTGGCTTTGAGGTCTGCGCTGTGATCAGCATTTGATCTGGAGACTGCCTCCAACAGCGGCGCGACACTTTTGCTTTCCCAACCAGCTCCGTGGGCGTTGCTCTCAGCCCCAAATAGACGCACAGATCAGCGGCTTTCTCGTCAACGGCTTCAAGTGCCGACCCTTGCGAATAATTTTCAAGCAATTCGCGTGATATATAGTATATATAAATATATTTCTTAATTTCAACAATTTTTATTATGATTTTTTTTTTGAAAGTTTCATGTTCGCCCACTAAACGAGACGGCGACTGGAGGAGGCCCAGGCACGTTGGTAACTTTGAAAATATTTTAATGAATAGTTTTTTAGGTTTTTATGAGCTTGTGTGCGTGTTTCTTTTAGTTTCTGTTATTTTTAGTATGATAATTATCGGCAATACCTATAAGGCCAGGCCAGCCCATATGGAGACGCGCTTTGTGCTCGTCTCTTTGGTAGGCAGCTCATAAAACAACAGCAAACCGCAAACAGCACACAAGGGTGCTCGCTAGTCGAGAGTGCCTGACTTTGAGATACCCTGTAGCCAGCTTTTTCTCCCTCAGCTTTACGCTAGAGGAAATGCAAAGTCCGATCTTTAAAGTCAGGGCCTTAAAATGACAGCAAAGTGTTTGTCTATACGGATTCTCGGTAGAATGAGGAGAGGGGTAACAGATCTAGATATATGTTCTATTTCTAGTAATCTTCAAAACATACCAAATTGGTATGTATTGTTATGAATATAAGGGCATATATTGATAATGATTAACAAACTCGTTCTACTTATGAGAGAGAGAGGAATATATATATTTAAAATTTTAACTTCCCGACTAATAGACGTGACTACCTCGACGCAGCTCGTCATCTTGTTCGGGAATTCATGCGCTTTTTGGGCACACAGATGGCTTCTTCTGCCAGTTACATCCATTAGCACAAATCTGTCATACCTTTTGGGCTGAGTAAAGGGTATGAGAAGAGCCAAATAAATATACATATAAATGGCAGTTGGGTGGGTTTGTGTTTTTGTTTATGTTTTTGTTTTGTTTGTTGTAGCATGTAACACTTGAAAATTCCACTCGCTATGAATCTTGCACATGGCTCGCTAAGCCCAACTTTGGAGTAGACACTTCGACGACCACGAACAAATAAAAAAAACCAAAAAAAAAAAAAGCCAAACGCTTACGGACGTGGCCGATGCGGCGTATACGCAATGGCGGCAACCTGTTTGCCAGGGCAGCCGCCCGCCCACACGCCAAACGGCGTCTAGCTAACCGGGCGGCCAGTTGGGCGAACCAGCTCGAACAGAGTATCTATTCGAATTTTCAGCTGTAGGCATGTGATGATCGATTGGAAGGGGTTGGCGAGGGGGGTCTCTAAATTTGTGAATTGGTGTATTTTCTGGCATATGATTTATTTTGATCGATTCGTAATTTATTGTTTAGGCACATTTGCATATCCACTTACCATGTTTTATTTTTGTTGCTTCCTCGCTTTGGTTTAAATTGCTTTGGATTTTGTATAAAAGCTTTGCTTTTGTGCACCAGCAGATTGGAAACTTAAACAAAAAACAAATAAAAAACAGCTAGGTTTTAACTAAATACATAGATACTTCGACGAGGCGGCTGCGTTCGCTGTCAAATCGATGCTCCGATAAAAAAGAAGACAGAAATATCAAAGCCAGCTAAGGAATATTACTGAAGCCTAAAGCAGTTGGTACGCTAATATGATATGATGGTTGGGATAAATGCTCTGATGGCAGGCTGCTGGTTCGAGTCCCAGGCGAGTGCATGTGTCATATTAGTATGATGAGCACATTGATTAATGAAGAGAAATCAATCAACTGATAGAGACAGATGCTAAACCAGTTTTTCTAGACTATAGAGTCGAGGACACCTCGCAGTATTATCCTGCTCCGGACAGACCACAGACAACAAGCAATTGGGCAGGGTATGAGGGCATGGAGGAGGATATGATGAGGATATGCATGTTAAAATTGCTGACAAGCAGAAGCGACAACAACAACAACAAATAAGGCGGCAAATCAACACTCAAATGTCAAAGTCAAGCAAACACACACACACACACACTCAGACACACAACTAATTCGAATTGAATGCTGACAGCAGCTCAAAGGCAAACAAACAAAAATTAAATATTAATAAATTGTTACAATTACATTTTTGTTCGTACAAATTTTAGTTGAGAATTTTTTTGTTATAAGTGAAGAGCGTGAAGTCCGAAAACAGAAACAAATAGAAAACGGAAACAAGCGAGGGCGAACCGCGTACCGCGAACCGAAAACCGAACCGAACCGGCGAGCGTCGACCGAGAAACTGAAATTGAAACCGAAGCGCAGCGAGCACTGAAGCCAGCGACAGCGACGCCAACGCCAACGCCGACGCCACAGCCAACGTCGACGCCAAACGATAGCAGCAGCAGCAGCAGCAGCAGCAACAATAACAAATGGACTCTAAGAGCCCGTTGGAGATGAGCGCGCGCAGGCGCCGCAGTCACATAACGGCCCAGCCGCAGCAGCAGCAGAAGCAGTCACAGCAGCACCAGCAGCGACGCAAAGCTGCTCAGCAGGAGCGGGCAGCCGGCAGCAGGAGCAAAGCGGCAGCCAAGCAAGCACCGCAGCTGAGCAAGACACGAGCCAACAACATGACCATCGCCGTCGTGCCGCCGAGTCGCCAGGGCGGCAGCAGCAACATCAACAACAACAACAACAACAACAGTAATAGCAATAACAGTAACAGTAACAGTAACGGTAGCAGCGGCGCGGGCAAAGGCAAAAAGCATTATCGCTGCACATTTGGCAGGGAGCTGCACCGCGAAGTGCAACGCCCGATGCAGCAGCAGCAGCAGCTGCAGCTGCAGCCGCCGGTGACGTCGCGTGTGGCCTTTGGGCGGACATGCCCCGGCATGCTGACCACAATGACCATGACGCACACGTCGGTGGCGACACTGATGCGACGCGGCAGCCAAAAGTCGAGAGTGGACACGCCCCGGCCGAAGCCGATGCAGGCGGCGCACGAGCAGCTGGAGATGCTGCTCTCGCGCATCGAGCAGGACGCAGCAGCATCGGGAACGATAGGAACAATGGCAACGGCAACGACGCCGCCGCCACGACGACGCAAGCCGCCACCGTCAAAGACGGTGCGCCGTCAAATGGAGCACCCGCCGCCGGTGCCGACGGTGACACCGCTGAGCAGCGCACGTGGCCAAGACACGCTCGGCCTGACGCCACGCGGCGGCGGCTTTGGCGAACTGAGCCTCAGCTATGCCGGCCAAGCGCGCGTGGATGCAACGGGCGCAGCTGTCGCCGGGGTAGCGGAGCAGCTGGTGCCGCTGACACAGAATCCACAGCTGCTGGCGCCCGAGAAGCGTCTGGCCCTGCTCGAGCTGCTGTCCTGTGCCGATCAGCACGACCAGGAGATAGTCAAGGTATTGCGCAGCGAGGTCCACAATGGCGGTGATCCCTCCAGAGATACCATGCGGCTCACCCTCCAGATGCTGTAAGTAGCATATGCCCTCCACCACCACCACCAGCAGCAGCAGCAGCGACGACGTCGTC